CAAATCACCCTTCTACTATAGCATTTGTAATTCATTCCCTCAACTCTATTATCTTTTTGGACCTTCTCTATCTTTAGTATAAGTCTCAGAAGAATCATTCTCATGCAATGACAAAAAATATCCAAGACGCTACTCAAATGCCTTGGTAGGGACATGATCATAATTCTCATCCGACATACGAAAGTCTATGTCTTTGTGAGAATGACATCGTCGAATGTAATTGTGGAGAGCCATTGTGGCAACCACAGTTTGCACCTATTTTGGAAACTGCTAAAAAGACATATCGTGAAGTATGACCCATTTCTTCTTCTAAACACCAAAACACCTCTCAATGACACCGCATAAGAAAGAATGTCTTTTATTGAACATTTATTTTCTGCCCTGTGTTACATTGTTGGATCGCTCAAAGTTAGGTATGTGGTATCTCGTATCATGACAGGGTTTGAGATACCCTTGCTGCAACAGATATCTAACATCAACCAAATAACATTTATCTGATGTGAATTGCATGATTAGTATTGCAGGAAAAATGAATTAGGAGAGTTGCTCAGTCTCAAACATACCTGTAGATGCATGTGGGAATTTGTACTTGTTATTCCGTGTTGTACCTTTGAAAATTCAACTATGATGTGCACTACCCTCCCAATCGGCCAAAAAAAGGTGAAGAACATGTTAAAGTTGCATACCACCATGACATTATTCGTCGAGGACCCACAACAGCCGTAGAATGTCATCTTCTCATTATTGGGAACACCTGTATCAACATGCATTTCATCAATTGCTCGGATACAATTCTAGAAAAGTAACTAAGAGTTTTATTTAAAAATTTAATGTAATAAATTGGAGAAATTACTTTAAAAAATATCATATACTGCGCATCGTGTGAAATCTCTGTAGAACTCTATTCGAATGTAAGATCTATTGGATTTATGACTTGTGGAGAAAAACCTACAAGTGAATTCAACCCTAATAAGATGTATTTACAAGTTATTTTGGAGAAGTGTTGGCATTACTTCGTTTCTCCTCGCATTGATTCATTCTGCAATAATATGTAAAGTTTATCGCCAACACCTCTCACAAAGTCGTCATGAAAGAGCCATGAAGTCCATGATTTATGTGTAGTTCCTTCAACAGATCATTGAATGTCGTCTGTATTATGCAGAACATTTTGTTAAATCTCATTGGGTGGCCCAAAAGTAACTCCCCAACCCATTTGTCCTCAAAACATGAGAATTTCATGCAATGGGAGCACTCTATGTACAAGTTATAATATTTGTACATCAAGTATAAGACAGATACAACTCTCTTTCTGCGCCTTTCTTTGGTTGCATCCATGTAGATCAGTATTGTACTAGCTAACATAAAAGCATAAATGAAATAGCTATAATCATATAAGGTTACAAACAATACAACAAACATATAAGTATCGATGAATAAGTATATAAGACATGTATCAAGATGTTGAAATATCCTAAGAAAAAGAAAAATAATAAACAAATTAAAAATGTCACATGCGATTGTAAATAAACAAAAAAGGTCCCTCAAATGTTCCTGTGCTCATAAAAATATTGTAGGTACGCTACCCTATGGTCATCGAGCATCTTGATGAAAAATCTTTTCGGGTCGAATCTTCAAGTAGCACTATTGAAAATAAGTATAGCGGTAAGTCCTTAGAAATTGCTGGGGTTGTATTCAGAATTTACAGAACCTGTTCTAAAGCTACTTGAGATGTTGGGTTCATTATTGCATGAAGCCACGACCTGTGATACCTGACAAATAAGGAAAGCATCTCCCATTTTGATTTTATTCTTAACCCGCGGACGCTTAGAACAACTCATGTACTCAAGTTCAGAGAGGCCCGGGCTGGGGCCTTTGATGAAATCATCCGACTGGTCAGCTCAAAAATTTTCAGGGGTGCCACCAAACCTTGTCTCACTAGGGCACATGCATTGCTGCCCATTTCCACGACACCCCCAAACATACGGTCCAACTTCTCCTTTAACAGTAGATTGATTCCATTGAATTTAAATTTTTTGCAGCAAGCACCACCAACTAATTTATATAACATCTTTTTCAATTTTAAAAATAAAATAAAAATTGGCTAAATTTGGGAACAATTCAAAAATTCTTAGCGCAAGTAATTCTGCCTACCACTCCTTGGAAGCATTTATCATTTGCTTCACCGAAGCCCAGCCTAAGCCCGTTGACCCTCATTTTAATTCCTTATATGTTTTCCAATCTGTCTTAAGTAGATCTCACTTTTTTTTAATTACATCCAATCATATTCTCTACTTGTACTTTTCTTAAATTTTTTGATAATATTTTGCCACTATTCCTTGTTGAAATAGGTTGTAAGCCTATTTCCCATTTTAATCTCCTTGAGGAAAAGGTCGCAAAATATTAATTTTGTATCTTTATCCCACATTGTAGGTGAACCCACCTCTTTGGTCTTAACCATTGTATTACCATAATGAAAAAAATATTTAACTTAAATAGGAATGCCACAATATCACAAAATAAAAAAAATTGTAATGTCGCAATATCATCGCCACGACCTCCACACCAAAACATCCACAAACCACACCAACACCTCCACACCATACATCAACAAATCCATACACTACACCACAAACTCCAAACCACTCACCAACACATCCCCAAATCACATCAACACATCCAAAACTCTCTTAAACCATCACCTCTACACCTCACCAACACATCCACACACCACCACCTCCACACCGCACAAGCACCCAACACTACCACACCAACACATCCACACACCACACCACGAACTCCAAACCACACACCAACACATCCACAAACCACACCACTACCTCCTCATCACACTATCACCCTACACCACCACCTCCACACCACACAACTCCCCTACACCACCATCTCCACACCACACAAACACATCCACACATCACCACCTCAACCACCAAACACCACCACACCAACACATCCACACACCACACCACAACTTCCAGACCACACACCAACACATCCAAAAATCACACCTCCACCTTCTCATCAAACAATCTCCCTACGCAACCACCTTCACACTCCACACCACCACCTCCACACCATACCAACACATCCACTCACCACCATCTCCACACCACACAAGCACCCAACACCACCACACCAACACATCCATACACCACACCACAAACTCTAAACCACACACCTACACATCCAAAAACCACACCACCTCCTCTTCATCACACAATCACCCTACATCACCACCTCCACACTACACACCACCACCTCCATAGCACAAAACTCTCCTACACCACCATCTTCACACCACAACAACACATCCACACACCACTACCTCCACACCACACAACCACCCAACCCCACCTCACCAAAACATCCATACACCACACCACAAACTCCAAACCATGCACCAACACATTACAAATCCACAAACCACACCACACCATGATTAGTTCAAGTGGTTATCACAATAACACATGTCCTCGAAATGGCACTAGAAACTTGATATGTTCCCTAACAAATTAATTAAGTTTTTAAAATTAGGTATTATTACTCACTGAGGTTTCTCATGCAAGTATATGTATCGTTTAAGTAAAATAGAGCTCTATTGAGTCCGGGTTATTGATCCCACAGAAAAGGAGGTAATGAGTCCCTTAGGCAAAGTTCTAGTCTACTACGCTAAGGTCTCAGTTTGGACTGCAAATTAAAATGATTTTTCTAACAATTACTTCTATATTATAACAATAAGTCTAAAGCTAAACCTAACTATATCAATTAGTTTAGTGAATATTGAGATATAAAAAATACCATTCTCTTTTGATTGCATAAGTGGATTGTGGGATCGAATATCAAAAATTGCTAATATCGCTTGTGAGAAATCGGAGCATATATCTTGTTTGCCCTCTTATGAGTGCATAAAGAAGTTTGGTTTAACTTGGTAAGTGTTTCTTCCTGTCACCCTCGAAACCCACAAGTTATACCCATTAAAACCTATCACCCTACTTAGTTGCATTGCTCTATGGATTACTTTTTCTTCACCCACTAATTCATTGTGATCTCCCTAGTTGTCCATGCCATAGGTCTTCTGAGTTTTTATAGGTTCACAACAAATTTTAACATACCATTTGGCTAGAATGATAAGTAAAAGAAGCCTAAAAGGAAAGATAATCGCACTAGATTTAAAATCCAACTCTAAAATCATTCAAAATATCCTACAAATCCTACCTATTCATCAAAAGGGAAAAGTAAGGAAAATCTATTCACAATGAATGAATATTACAATGGAAATCATAATTATTTAATAAAAAAATACGATAAATAACTCTTTACAACAAGCCCAAGACAAATGAAAATACCTTTCTTAGCTTTTTTCCTTTCAAAAGAGTTAAAAAATCCCTTACATATTTCTCTCTAAAACCCTCACCAATTTCTCAAGAAAAAAGTAAAAATCTACAATCCTTACTCCTATCTACATCCTCTTGGTGTACCTAAAGAATTACAGGACTTGGAAATGACAAAAAGTCCCTTTTCAACCATCGACATGCTTTAAGTAACCCTCGAAGTAGTGTTGAAACTACTCTGGTGTTTGACAGTGCCTTAACACCTAGTCTGCAGCTCCTAAGCGTCGCTTTGTCAGTTTGTTGGGAGAACTCTGGTGCCTAGGTTCCCAAAACTTAGTTCCAAGGTTCTATGGAGCTACTCCTTGGCATCCACTCTAGAAACCCCCAAGTTATACTTATCAAAACATATCTTCACATCTATTTGTATTGCCCTGTATCTTGTTCTTGCAAAAAACTTTTATTAGATTTATAGGATTTACTAAATCTATTATCAGATAATTTTCCTGGCGAATTTAATAAGTTCTAATTCGTTAAATCTTAATAATTTAAATCTAATTTATTGAGAGACAGCTCCTACGCATATAAAAAAGTCAAATAAATTTTGTTTTGAAAGCAGGAAAATTGAAAAAAAAAAAAAAAAACAATTTCTGAAGGACGCCAAAGGTAAAGTTAGAATTTCAAATAGCTGAGAGGGAACTCTTGAAGGAGCTCTTAAAAGGCTTTTGACCTGCATTACGGCGTTGTGGCGTTGTCGCGTTGTCGAGCTTCGAGGACTGACCGGTAATGGAGATCAACGGTGGTAAAGAGATAGAAGAATTAAAGCCCGCCGGCGATTCAGCTACGATACCAGACCCTAACCCTAATCCTGAACTCAGGCGACGAATGGTTAGGACGAAGGTCCCGGAGGTGGACATCCAGCTCTTTAACCGCGGCAAAGGTCCGATCGCCACCTTCCGTTCGAGCCTCGGCGGATGGGATCAGGATCACCTCGAGGTTCAGGACATCCTCGACAAATACGGGTTTAAAACCCTCTACTCTTTCAATCCCTCCACTGGCCTTGGTGTTCCCATCCGGTTCAACCCTAAGAACGGCCGATCCATCCTCTCATACACCGACGGATCCCTAGTTCTCCTCGACGGCGAGCCTAAGGTCATCAATTCTGTTCTTCTGTGTGTGTGAGTGTGTGTGTAATGCTTTTGGCGGATTGAATTGAAATTTTGATCCGACGTTTTCCTATCTTTTTCCACTAAAGGATCCACTGGTTAAACCTATAACGAAGTTCCTGGTTGTTGTCGTGTTGATTTCCATTGTGATCTCAGTCTTGGTGAAGGACCCTCCAGATTGGCTGAAGAATTCGAAGTTCTCATCGGGGATGTTTCCTCCATGGGTTCTAGTTGGTGCTGTTGTGGTTTTCTTTCGCTTGAGAAAGAGAACCATGGTATTGTTGAAGAAATATGTGTCGTGAAGATTTCAAGAGGTATAAGATTTCGAAAACCACTTGAATTGTTTCTTGTTTACTGTTTTATTTTATTTTTTTTATGATTGAATTTCATTTAATTTTACAGCCTTTCAGGTTGGAGTCTGGTTTGTTGAGAATGATAATGTGCCTTCGAATTTCACTTAATTGAATAAGAGTCAAAAGGTTGAGTATTTATGCTTTAGAGTAGTATATTCATGCAAGTGATTGAATGTTTAATTCTTACTGTTGCTTTAGAATTTTTGTTTCTTGAAGCACAATGTGGTGGAAGAAATTGTGAAAATGATTAACATTGAAGCTTGCCAGTATATGATCACGGGTCATGACTGATAACATCATACCTCAAAACAGCCTTTGTCAGACAGCAGAAGCACCTCCTCATCACAAATCATAAATCAAAAATTGTAGATCGATAACTTCCAAGTCTAATCCTAACCATCAAATGAAATTGCAATATACACCACTAGGCTATCTGAGATTAAGAAAAGGCTGCAACAATACTTGATATAATATGAAAACTATTGCAAAATTTCCTTAGCCTGCTCTTCATTTCTGCTATTTAGTTCACGGCTTTATCCTTATGGGGATCTTAGCAGCATACTTCCCTATGACAGCACCAATCCTCACTCTTTTAGATTTCGTAGTAGTCTAATCTTCTGCAAAAGGCTTTCAACCTTGTTCTTCCTTTCTCAGCCCATCTGTCTCCGCGCGCCACCTTACCTTAGTAACCTATCCTCAAACGATGCTACATCTTCACCAATAGTAAGGGAACCTTCATTCACTTAAATTCTTGATGATGAACATCAAACAGATTGTCAGTATCCAGCTCACCTCAAAGAATCATCCCCTATGGAAAGCTCATCTACTAAAAATCTTTGGTGCAAATGGCTTCATTGGATGCATCGTTGGATCAACTTATGTTCATCAAAACAGTTCATTGATGAAGATGGCTCAATCCACTTGAACCCAAAGTACAGGACATGTATGCTTATAAATCAAAATCTGCCAACAACACACTACATCATCATATCTACTCATCTCTTCACCCTTATGTTACTCTAGAATCCAACATTCAAATATGAACTACAAATAGAGTAACAATCATAATCTACCAACCACTCTATGTTATCCAATTAAAAAGTATGGGCCTAATATCTCTTAACCATCAAAACTAAGGTTGAATCCATAGTGTTTGTGAATTCTCTACTTGATCTTGATGATATCATCTCTTATGTACTAATGATCTTCACCCTACTTATCAATCCCACAAGATATCCATTTGAACTACATTGCAACCTATTATCCTAGATGATCTTTGCTTCCTCTTATGTAGTGGAGTTTTAAAACAAAAGCTACAAGGGAGCTTGTCACTTTGTAAACTAGCGATTGACTCACTACACTTGTTGCGACCAAGGGTCATAAATGAGGTTGTTACAATCCATTCTCAAGCTATGGTAGACTATGCCCCATCTCATTCCATACCTAGCCTCTTTTCCTCACGCCATATCCTCTTCACTTTTTATGCATCAAATATATTATAGTAAAATAAGTCACACCACATCCTAATGCTAGTATCATCTATATTTATCCTATAATGGTCAACCTTTACTCCTCCCTGTTTTTACTGGACCCCCATCCCTACAATCCACTCAGCAATCCATGTCAGAACGGTACCTTTAGTTCATCCTACATCTCGATTCCTTATTCAATGCCTAACTAATAACTCCCATTGAAATGCTTCTCCTATGTCATATTATCCATGTGCCAAAATTGTTCTCCAAACTCTCTTTTCAATGCCTAATTAAAGACAATTATTACTCCATTTTTTTCGAAACAAATGGCTATATATAAAAGAACTCAAAGACTCAACACACCATCATTCAGGGATCTTGTCATAAAAAACTATACATTGCACCACGCTTCACTATTGCAATAGTCCTTAACCATTCTTATTTTAATGTCCGCCAATCAATTCCAAATATATGTAATAAACGGTTTATCCACACTCATCTACCTATTTTTCTTAGCAAAAGTTTATACCCACAAAACGTCTTCCTTAGGCTCCTCTTTTATATACTTCATGCAAATTATCTAAGAGTCGCCGACTCCTTTGTCAAAAGCTTATGTTCTCAAGCTACTATTTGACTTTTGTTGTCCTTAACACCCTCCTTACATAGATATAAAGATTATATTTTTTTCATTGATGACTACTCATGTTATTGTCGGGTGTTCTATGTGCATATTAAATAACATAATGATATTTATTTGATTTCACGCGACAACTTATGCCTGAGTTCAATCAAAATTCTCCAAATTGATGGTGGCAACAAATATCATGTCTTCCATCTTAAAAATGGCAACAAATATAATGTTTTCCATCTTAAATATCTCCCCCCCCCTCCCAAAAAAAAAAAAAAAAAAAAAAAAAACACATGTCTCTCTCTCTCACAAAATGGCGCTGCAAGTGCATGCATCAAAACTATTTAATCTCTCTTAATTATTGCTGCTGTTCCCCACTTTTTTGGGTTGATGCTATTTTCACCACAACATAATCCATCAATGAGCTACCTTCCCTCACCACAAATCATAAACTCTATACTAATTACTCCATACAAAATCATAGATTTCGGTGTTTTCCCTTGGCTGCAACCACATTTTATTGACAAGATCTCACCATGTTTGTCTCTTATACATTCATCGATTATATTCCTCTACAGAAACGATACAAACATTTTCACCCCACCATTGACACGGCCTTCATCTCTCACCATTTTTTTTAATAAAACTGTCTTCCCTTGTTGTGAACCCACTTAGTGGCATAAAGAATTGTTGTTGTTGTTGTTAAAGGTGTCTACCCCTTTCAAACTACTTCCTCTAAACCACAATAAACCATCACATCTTTATACTCTCACCTCTAACTTGCGTGCCTATTTTCATAATTCCTACCTTTAGCATCACTTCTCACTAAATCCACAAACATGAAAATTCCTACATTCAATTCATCAAGATACCATAAATTTCTCCAAATCACGCCACCACACCCTCCCCCACAAACTCCTTTTCATTCATCAACTCAGTCTCCAAAACATGCTAGCTCATCCTTCCCTATTCATCCCATGATCACTAGACCCAAAATAGAGCATCTCTTGTCTAAACACATCCTGAGTCAAATCCCACACCACCACCATGGTAGATCTTATATGCTAATCTTTGGCAGTTTAAGATCACAAATGTTAATTGGCCATGTTCTCAGAATTTCACACTCTACTCAAATAAGGAAGTTGGGTTTGTTCCTTAATTAAATCGATATGGCCTAAGATGCAAATTGGTATTTTGGATCAAATATTGCTTTGATGGCTTCATTGCTCATTATAAAACATAATTGATAGTGCAAAGCTACAAACAAAAATATGGAATGGACTATATCAGTTTGAAGTTTGGTCATCAGAATGCAAACCATTTTTGTAAATTTGTATGGCGGATTTACCTAAAAGGATGTTAAAAGGGAGGAGCTTGGCAAGTTGGGCTGAGCACCAACTCATTGAATCAAATTTATATGGATTCATCAATCAAATTTGTTGAGGATGGCTCGCTGGCTGAGCTCAAGGTAAATTGGCTCACCTAGTTAAGCTCAAGGTATCTATTTGTTAGTATTAAGGCTAACTCACACTCCAATGAAAACGAAGCATCTATTATGGCTCAAGGATGACATCTCCACTCAAACTAGACTCCAAATGCCTACTTGGTTAAATAGTTTTCCTACGATGAGATGCAATCTGATTTACTAATGAAACTAGAAACTACAATTGTTAATCGATTACCCAATCCGAGTCTATAGTAGGGCTACAAGCTTTCTGCATTTCTTTTCTTACCTTTTGTACGTATATTACTTATTCTATAGCCTTCCATGTAGCGCATAAGGCCCTAATAGATGCCTCTAAATAGGAGTTCCTTGGGAAAGCTAATGTTTTGTCTCTTTTACTCTCTTCCCTTTATACTTCATAATTATAGAATTCAAAGCTTGATTTTATTGTATTTATTTCCTCTACTTCATCTTATTTCTTGGTCTTTCTTTTCTTTGAATCAATAAGGTTTGTGCATAACTCACCATTAGCTTGAGATTTAATTTTTTTTTAGATGTGATGAAGGTAGGCTTTGACTAGAACTTGAATAGACATCTAAAGATTTGCTGAATGGTCTAAACTGAGGAACTCATCCTATAAAAAACTAGATAAATATAGATTACCAAAAGATTGTAAAGTTAGATAATTCATTGAGTTGAAAGATATATTCAAAAAAAAATTGAGAGGGAAACTTAGGATAATTATCTAGAACATTTGGGATCAAATCCTACGTGTGATGTTACATGTACGATTGTCAAATTTGACAAATTTGATGAGTAGGAGTCACTCGTGAATGTGCAGAACGTGTAACTTATACTCTCTACACAAGACTTATTATCCAGAGTCAATATAAGAAGTGTCCTCTGATGGTGATTTCAATTGACAAATGGTTTTTTCTAGATAAATTACTGAAATTAGATATCAACCCAGGTTTAAAATTCTAAGTGTTGAATCATACTATAGTTGGACTAACGAAACTGGCTATGTAGCCTAAGGAGTCGCTTAAGCTTGTAAGTTGAAGAAAAGTTACTGTGGTAGGTGGAGGTACTTTTATCATTCACACTACAACTAATCTAAGGACAATTTAATACTCTTCATGATAGTAAATACACAGGAAACATAATGATAATGACACACTGTCCGAGTGACTAAGACACTTCGACTTAACAAATCAAGTATGAGTTAACATTTGCTATGAGTGATGATTTTTCACATCAGTGCAAAGTAGAATCATCCTAGATATGTGATTTAATTACATATATATATTAAGTCATCCTATAGAGAAGTTATGCATTCACTTAAAATCCATTTTTTATAGAGTTAATACAACTTCTAACTAACTATCATACTTTCACTTATTTTTAAAGACTAACAATCATCATGCAGAAGAAAAAATTGAGTAAACAAGAAAATGTTAATTAGAAAAATACATTGCATTCTATTATGACATACAAATATAAGGAGTAAATGATACATTCAACTCAAAGATATATTACATTAGTAAGTTTCAAATTTAAGGCTGACTTACTTCTTCACCAAAGTCACAACTTATAACAACTCTAAAAAAGAAATATATTAGATCAATTAGTACTTTTGTAGGTAGGCACCTAGTGCTTAGTTGTTGGAAAAGAATGATGTTGTCTCTTGCCACGTATGCCCCAAGAGTTTTGTGAGGTGCTTCCCGAAGTTGCCACAG